CATGTCTACAGGGTGTACATGTCTACAGGGTGTACATGTCTACAGGGTGTACATGTTTACTAGGTGTACATGTCTACTAGGTGTACATGTCTACAGGGTGTACATGTCTACAGGGTGTACATGTTTACTGAGTGTACAAGTTTACTTGGTGTACATGTCTACTGGATGTACATGTCTACAGGGTGTGCATGTCTACAGGGTGTACATGTCTACAGGGTGTACATGTCTACAGGGTGTACATGTTTACAGGGTGAATATGTTAACTGGATGTACATGTCTACTGGGTATGCATGTCTGCAGGGTGTGCATGTCTACAGGGTGTACATGTCTAATGGGTGTTCATGTCTACATGGTGTACATGTCTACAGGGTGTACATGTTTACAGGGTGTGCATGTTTACTGGGTGTACATGTTTACTGGATGTGCATGTCTACAGGGTGTACATGTCTAATGGGTGTTCATGTCTCCATGGTGTACATGTCTACAGGGTGTGCATGTTTACAGGGTGTACATGTTTACTGGGTGTGCTTGTTTACAGGGTGTACGTGTTTACAGTGTGTACATGTTTACTGGTTGTACATGTCTACAGGGTGTACATGTGTTTACAGGGTGTATATGTTTACTGGGTGTGCATGTCTACAGGGTGTACGTGTTTACAGGGTGTACATGTTTACTGGTTGTACATGTCTACAGGGTGTACATGTTTACTGCGTGTACATGTCTACAGGGTGTACATGACTACAGGGTGTACATGTCTACAGGGGGTACATGTCTACTGGATGTACATGATCTACATGTCTACTGGATGTACATGTCTACCGGGGGTGTGCATGTCTACAGGGTGTTCATGTCTACAGAGTGTACATGTCTACAGGGTGTACAAGTTTACTGTATGTACATGTTTACTGGGTGTACATGTCTACAGGTTGTACATGTTTACTGGGTGTACATGTTTACTGTATGTGCATGTTTACTGGGTGTACATGTTTACTGGATGGGCATGTCTACAGGGTGTACATGTCTAATGGGTGTTCATGTCTCCATGGTGTACATGTCTACAGGGTGTGCATGTTTACAGGGTGTACATGTTTACTGGGTGTGCATGTCTACAAGGTGTACATGTCTACAGGGTGTACATGTTTACTGTATGTACATGTTTACTGAGTGTACAAGTTTACTTGGTGTACATGTTTACTGGATATACATGTCTACTGGATGTACATGATGTACATGTCTACTGGATGTACATGTCTACAGGGTGTACATGTCTACTGGATGTACATGATGTACATGTCTACTGGATGTACATGTCTACAGGGTGTATATAACTATATGGAGTATATGTCTACAGGCAGTACATGTTTATTAATAATCAAAATTACTTCTCTGTTAAACACAGGCCACAAGCGTTCATAGGAATGTTCGTGAGCCCAGAACATCAAGTCCACATCATACTTTTTGAATAGCTGTTCCAGACTATAGGCATGGATGAAGGGTATCCCAACACGCACCTGTGAACATATTCAATATTTATAATACACATGTCTGTACATTTTTCACACAAGGGAATTCCAACTTTTACAGTAGTTAGGCAGAAGTCGCTTCAAACACACCTTATCCTTGTTTTCAACATATTTAACCCCTGTAACGTTTAAAGTGAATCAAATTAGTTCACAGATCTGATAGCCCCTTACTCCCAGCAAGACGAAAGAAATATCAAAACTAGGTATTGGGATTCCTGGGAAAATCCTTTAAAGGAATAGTTGATAATGGACTTTTTATCGCAGGTGACCTTGTGACATTGACCTTTGATTGGTCTCATCTTCTTTCGTATGTCTTTTGAAGAAATAGCAAGTCTGATTGTATTTCACTCATTATCTTGAAACATATTATGTAAGATTAACTGTGTGATAGATGCAGACAAATTTCAAGTTAATATAAAATTCTCTGAACCACCACATAATTAAAATGTACTTATATGCCCTCCCCCCCTCTAACATATGAAGCTACGTTATGTAGGGCCTCCTTACCAGACTCTCGTGGTGGGTACAGTCCCCCCCCCCCTCTAACATATGAAGCTACACTATGTAGGGCCTCCTTACCAGACTCTCGTGGTGGGTACAGTCACCCCCCCTCTAACATATGAAGCTACGTTATGTAGGGCCTCCTTACCAGACTCTCGTGGTGGGTACAGTCGTCTCCCCCCCCTCCTCTAACATATGAAGCTACGCTATGTAGGGCCTCCTTACCAGACTCTCATGGTGGGTACAGTCACCCCCCCTCTAACATATGAAGCTACGTTATGTACAGCCTCCTTACCAGACTCTCGTGGTGGGTACAGTCCCCCCCCCTTTAACATATGAAGCTACGTTATGTAGGGCCTCCTTAACAGACTCTCGTGGTGGGTACAGTCACCCCCCCTCTAACATATGAAGCTACGTTATGTACGGCCTCCTTACCAGACTCTCGTGGTGGGTACAGTCGTCTCCCCCCCCTCCTCTAACATATGAAGCTACGCTATGTAGGGCCTCCTTACCAGACTCTCATGGTGGGTACAGTCACCCCCCCTCTAACATATGAAGCTACGTTATGTACAGCCTCCTTACCAGACTCTCGTGGTGGGTACAGTC